TCTACACACTCTAACCTGAGCCTCACTATCCTCATAAAAACTCTTTACAGCATTTAGTAACTTATTACCTATTCCATACACTTGTAACATCTGCCACATTCCTCCCCTATCCACTCTATCATAAGCCTTTATCAATATACTGTTCACACATGTGCTTCAACGTAAACACATGATCTTCAAATCCCCTACCCATTCTAAAGCCTCCTTGTTCATCTACAATCATGCTGTCTTACCTCTAATTCTTTCAATAATAACCCTACCATACACTTTACCTGGTATACTCAGTAAACTACTACTACTTCTTTCAATACACCAGCTGTATCGCACTGAGGTGGGGTGGCCCAAAAGGAAAAACGAAAGTTTCTCCTTTTAAATTTAGTAATATATACAGGAGAAGGGGTTACTAGCCCCTTGCTCCCGGCCTTTTAGTCGCCTCTTACAACACGCATGGCTTACGGAGGAAGAATTCTGTTCCACTTTCCCATGGAGATAAGAGGAAATAAACAACAAGAACAAGAACTAGAAAGAAAATAGAAGAAAACCCAGAGGGGTGTGTATATATATGCTTGTACATGTATGTGTAGTGTGACCTAAGTGTAAGTAGAAGTAAGAAGACATACCTGAAATCTTGCATGTTTATGAAACAGACAAAAGACACCAGCAATCCTACCATCATTTAAAACAATTACAGGCTTTCGTTTCACACTCACTTGGCAGGACGGTAGTACCCCCCTGGGTGGTTGCTGTCTAGCAACCTACTGCCTATAACTCAGTAAACTTCTTCCCCTATAATTTTTATAATATCTTTTGTCCCCTTCCCTTTATATAAAGAACTATACATGCTGTTGCAACCCCTGAATGGGTTGCAATGACTATTATGTATATATTGTATATATATAATGTATATTATCTTTTCATATAATTTTATATTGCTTATATTTGCGATAATAGCTAAATCGTAAATGTATGACTTTATATTATTATTTGACTGTTATATTGTTATTTGACTTATGTTGTTAGGATGTACATATTATGTGCTCAGTTCAAGTCTTGATTGTCAAACTACTGTAATTATCGCTTGTCGCTCGTTATACTGCCGGCTTCTGAGCTGTGCTGTCCACGGGGCTATCACGTGATCGAGGGGGGGGGGTGTCCTCACCTCTCGTGAAGTATTCAGTCTGCTCAAGACTCGCTTGGTGGTTGGACAGATGTCTGTCTCATTATTCTTGTTAGTTCTGTAGAACTCTGTTCACAGAACATTGTATAGACTTAGTGATTTTCGACGTTGTACTGAGGTTGTGTGTCACATAGACACTCTGAACATCTCAGGTCCTTAGCTATAGCTTCTGACCTAATTTTGTACTGGTTTCTGTGTATTATCACAGTCGGGTTTTTCCTATGCTGAACTTAGATTCAGTAGTATGGGAGTTTTGTAACTTTTGTGGAGGATCTGCTGATGGTCCCTACTTAGTGTCGTTATATTATCTCCTTGATCCTGATTGTGTCGCAGTCGCTTGTTATATGGCTATTGGGCTTAGCATTCTTTTCATTGTTCAAGCAGACTGTTCTGGTTGCCAGTCGGTCAAGAAGTTATTTTATTTGAGGACTTTGTCAGTCACTTGTTTAAGTCTAGTCGAGTCGTGAGACATAGTGAACTACTTAGAGCACTTACACGCATACACAAACTTACTTGTACATATTTGTAATATCTTATTAAGTGTTAATGTACCAGACGGTACTTAAGAATTATAAATGTGATATGTGCTTTCAGCACAATAATATTGAACTCGAGAGATTGATTTTATTTTGATTGCTGTGATTAATTTAATTTGATAATATACCTCTAGACTTAATAAATTTATTAAATTTTAATTTCTCTAGTTAGTAGCCTACCAGTTGTAATCCTGAAGCACTATTGAATAATACTGAATTTTAATGGATAATTGGACAAGGATACTGACTACTTGTTACGAAAACCCAGTAACAGGCTGGATGCTAGAAGGGCAGTCCTTTCTAGTATTCACTGGAGATCTCTAAGCTTTTAGAATCGCGTTTTTTGTAACACATGCTCTCTGCCACTCCCTAGGTACCTTCCCCCTCGTTCATATATATATTAAACAAAAATAACAACCACTCCAACACTATATCCCCCTTGCTTTTAACATTTCTGTCATGATCCCATCAGTTCCAGCTGCTTTATCTCCTTTCATTCTATGTAATGCCTCATGCACCTCCCCCACACTCACATCCTGCTCGTCTTCACTCCGAAAAGATGTTATACCTCCCTGGCCAGTGCATGAAATTACTGTCTTCCTTTCACTATCAACAGTTACTCAAAATATTCCTGCCATCTGCCCAATACCTCCAGCTCCCCATCTACTAATTCCCCTACTCTGTTTTCAAATGACAAATCCATTCATTCCTTAAGCTTTCTTAACTTGTTCATCTCCAATTTTTTTTCTTATTCTCAGGAAAATTTGTTGACAGTGCCTCTCCCACTCTATTATTTACTCTATTTACTCTTCTTTTGCACTCTCTCACTACTCTTCAAAATCTGTAACCCCACATTGTAATCCTTATAGAGAATAAACTTTGATTTGATTCTTTTACTCTCCATATACTCTTCCCTTCTTATATCATTTCTGCTTTGTAAAAACCTCTCATAAGCTGCCTTTTTCTCTTTTATTGCACCCTTTACCTCATCATTCCACCAATCACTCCTCTTTCCTCCTGCACCCTCCCTCCTATAGCCACAAACTTCTGCCCCACATTCTAACACTGCATTTTTAAAACTATCCCATCCCTCTTCAACCCCACTACCCATACTTGTGCTAGTTCACCTTTCTGCCAATAGTTGCTTATATCTCACCCTAACTTCCTCCTCCCTGAGTTTATAAGCTTTAACCTCACTCTTACTTGCTTTTGCCATTTTTCTTTTGTCCCATCTACCTCTTACTCTAACTGTAGCTACAACTAAATAATGATCCGATATATCCATTGCCCCTCTATATACATGCACAACCTGAAGCCTACCCATCAACCTTTTACCCACCCATACACTGTCTAACAAACTACTTTCATTATGTGCTATATCATACCTTGTATACTTATTTATCCTCTTTTTCATAAAATATGTATTACTTATTACCAAACCTCTACACATAGTTAACCCTTTCAGGGTTGGTGCCGTACTAGTACGGCTTGCACGCCAGGGTTGGTGCCATACTAGTACACACAAATTCTAGTGCCTTCAAATGTAGCGAGAGAAAGCTGGTAGGCCTACATATGAAAGAATAGGTCTATGTGGTCAGTGTGTACAGTATAAAAAAATCCTGCAGCACAGTGTATAATGAGAAAAAAAACTCCAACCGTGTTTTTGCTTTAAAACAGCAACTTTGCAGTGTATTTTTGTATGCTATTTATGGTTGTATTCTAGTTTTCCTGGTCTCAATTTATAGAATGGAAGACATATTACAGAAACTGAGTTGATTTCGATTGGTTTCACAATGAAAAGTACCTTGAAATTGAGCTCAAAGCAGCAGAAATTTTCGATTTTTGCCAAAGTTCAAAAGTAAACAAATTATGCCACGTGTCTAATACACATCAACTTTTGAGTCTAATATTCTTTCACAAGTGCACTGATATTATTTATACCATTTCTACATTAATGCAGTAGTCTGTATAACAGTAAATCTTCTATTTTTTTGTGAGAATAAAAATTCAAAGTGGAAAGCAAAAGAAATGTAAGAGAGGCCTGGGGACATGACTAATGAACAGATAAAATGTTATTTTAGTGCCAGAAATGTCTGTCTTGTTTATTCTGGACCCTATTTGGAAATTGGCATCTTTTGAACTTTGTGTAAAATTGGCATAATTGCCAATTTCTGACCACTTTATTGGATAGTTGAAATCGGTAAATGGGTGGTTTCTTGTACTCATTCGATAGAAAAAATGGAGTTCTAGTGAAATAGTTATGATTTTTGTTGATTGGTACATTGGAATTGGCCGAAAATAGGGCTCAAAGTGGGCGAAATCACCGATGTGTAAACATCGTTGAGATCGTTAACTTCTCGAGAGCACAATTCTTTAAGTTTTCCATCAAATTCCATACTTTTGGTGTCAATATGATCAGGAAAAGATTCTCTGTCATTTCATAAGAAAAAAATATTGTTTTTTTTTTCTTCGAAAAATTTCCGACCCTGAGAACAAGTTTAGGAGAGGGCCTGCTATCCCTAAAAGGGTTAATTAAAGGTTCCCCATTTTCATTTACCCCTGACACCCCAAATTTACCTAATACTCCCTGTACAACATTTTTACCCACTTCAGCACTGAGATCCCCAACCACAAGTACTCTCTTACTTGGTTCAAAACTCCCCATGCACTCACTCAACATCTCCCAGAATCTCTCTGTCTCTTCTACACTTCTCTCTTCTTCAGGTGCACACTTACTATAACCCACTTTTCACATCCAACCCTTATTTTACTTAACATAATACTTGAATTTATACATTTATATTTCCTCTTTTCCTCCCATAACTTACCCTTCAACATTATTGCTACTACATCCTTAGCTCTAACTCTATTAGAAACCCCTGACTTAATCCTCTTTATTTCCCCCCACTGAAACTCTCCTACCCCGTTCAGCTTTGTTTTACTTAGAGCCAGGACGTCAAGCTTCTTTTCATTCATAACATCCACAATCATCTCTTTCTGTATCTTGTACTAGATTTAATTGCTCCATCAGATTCTTCTTTCAACAAACCGGCCGTATCCCACCAATGCACGGTGGCCCAAAAAAGAAAAAACAAAAGTTTCTCTTTTTAACTTCAGTAATGTATACAGAAGAAGGGATTACCAGCTCCTTGCTCCTGGCATTTTAGTCGCCTCTTACGACATGCATGGCTTACAGAGGAAGAATTCTGTTCCACTTCCTCATGGAAAACTCCATCAGATTATAAAATTGAAACAAGAATTTTCATAACAGTAATACAAGTCCAAACCTGCAAGGCTAAGGTAGTCTAACGAAGAGCGTCCCCAAGATCGTCGATGAGGTTCTGTGGGTGTAGGCTCCCAGGAACGTGGCTCTGGAGGATATTCATACACTCTGTGGTGACGCTGACGTTTCCAACGTACCCTTTTCTTCAAGCTCTGAAAATTTAGTTTTTCTGCTGTGAAAAATTTTCTATGACTATAACAGCCATTATAATGATGTCCACTAATAGTGGTTATCTAAAAAAATACCCACTGTAAATATTTTTTTTATAAATTGGTAATATTATTTTATGTAATTTTGTGGCTCCTTCTATACACACCTTATGGTTCAAAAAGATATGTGAGCAAACACTAAGACATATTTATTAGAAAATGTTTCAGTCTTGGGACCTTCATCACTTCTAACACACAGGTTGAAATTAACAGGTGTATGTAGGCATAAAGTAAGGAGTGAGTGTAACATAGTAACCTGAAAAAAAGGCAAGTGAGGCTTATTTAAGATAAGGTTTGGTAGACAATGATGTCATGTGACTCCTTCAAACAAAAATCACACACCTCCCCATACCACACCAAAAACCCATCTCAGTATCCTTGAATCAAGCTCCAGCTAAGACCATCACATCTCCAAGCTCTTGAATTAAGAACCCTCCTCAAAGTCCTTTATTTTTCATATTAGCTTTGCTTGGTTGAATATCAAGTATGCCAGTGTTTTTGAAATTTTGTAGCATTCAGTATTATGTTCTATGGTGTCAGTGATGGCAATTAGTGAGGCTTCTAGACATCATCGGTCTCTAAGATCACATTCAGCGAGGAAGGGATGTGGCTCATTCCAACTTATCAGACATCTTGTGGAGTTCCTGTGGAGGACCGCAGGAGTTCTTTAAGCCATCCCTGTTGAAGGTATTTTGATGTTCACTTAGGCAGATCAAAAGATTTCTGCCTGTTTTCCCTATATGTATATTTCTTGGGACAATATTCACAAGCGATGGTGTAGACACCATCCCTGTGGAAGTTGGAAGTTATTTGCTTTGTAGGGAAGTCTTTGACAGATCAGGTATTCATTGTGGAAATTGGTACTGTTTCTAGGAAACACCTGTTGGGTATTCCTATCTTGGTTGGTGCAGTAAAATCATTTCATTTGAAATATTCACAGAAAACATCTGCTTTAAATTAAAGGTTAAAATTTTCCTAATTAAAGCATCCTAAGTATTTGCTTATATGTCTTATCCCCAAATAGAAGCTCTTGAACTACACCATAAATAAAGGAGTCCTCAAGCTCAATGCTCTGAACACCAGAATGAGACCAATAAAGAGTAACAATAAAATGTTACATTACTAATTTCTTTGAAAATTCTATTGGTCATTGGCTCATGAATCCAAGGAAATGAACAAGATAATAGATACAATGGATAGTTTAGCAATACAATAATGGAGGGATAGTAGATGAAGGATACAAACTTTTGACTACACAAGCACTATTTTAGTGCTTAAAAGGGGCAGAATACAGATTTTTGCTGTTACAGTGTGTAGGTAATTGGATACTTACAGATCTATTTTGAGGACTCTTGAGGAGTGAGTGTGAGGGTGTAAGATCACAATTCCACTTGGAGGGGGTAAATTCCTCTTCTCCACTCTCAGAGTTATCTGAAAAGTCTCCATCTTCTACTCTATCCACATCATCTTCTGGTTCCTCTTCAATAACATCCAGGATGTAACTGGATTGCTGGCACTGTTCCCCTGGCTGAAAAAATAGAAAAGAATGATAAAAAAAAATACATATGAACAAGTATCTCATTTAATTTTTTTTTATTTTAGCAAAGACTATTACTGTACTATCAATTATTTACAATGTTCCAAAAAATCAAACTATAAAGTCCTACAAAATTATAAGTTACTAAGAGTAAACAGTTTGTCTTAACAAGAATGGTACTGATACAGTTTAACATTTACAGTGGACCCTCGACCAACGGCTCTAATCCGTTCCAGAGAGCTAGACTTTAATCGAATTAGTTGTTAGTCGAATTAATTTTCCCTATAAGAAATAATGGAAATCCAATTACAGTGGACCCTCGCCTAACGATGGCATCGCATAACGTTAAATCCGCCTAGCGATACATTTTAATGCAAAAATTTTGCCTATCCTAGCGCTAAAAAACTCGCTCAACACGATTCGTCCGAGACGCGTCCACGTGCGACCTGAGCCAGCCTCACTTGTTCCATGGGTGGCAGTGTTTACAAGCCAGCCTCCGCGGTCACATCCAAGCATACAATCGGAACATTTCATATTATCACAGTGTTTTTAGTGATTTCACCTGCAAAATAAGTGACCATGGGCCCCAAGAAAGCTTCTAGTGCCAACCCTGTGGTAAAAAGGGTGAGAAATACTATCGTACCACAGTCAGCTGCTGCTGCACCACCGTCAGCTGTTGCTGGACCAGTCAGCTGTTGCTGCACCACAGCTGCTGCAGCACCACAGTCAGCTGCTGCTGCACCTCGATCAGCTGTTGCTGCACTACAGTCAGCTGCTGCTGCACCATGGTCAGCTTTTGCTGCACCAGTCAGCTGTTGCTGCACCACCATCAGCTGTATTACTCGAAGATGTGGAGAGTGTGTTATTGGTATGGCTTAACATGAAACAATTACCGAGAAATGATTAACCCCAGAGGGTTAGCCACCCAGGATAACCCAAGAAAGTCAGTGCATCATCGAGGACTGTCTAACTTATTTCCATTTGGGTCCTTAATCTTGTCCCCCAGGATGCGACCCACAACAGTTGACTAACACCCAGGTGAACAGGAAAAAATGCCTGGAACTAGTGCTCATATTGGTGAGGTTAGTGGGGAGGATGTGGAAGAGTTGGTGGAGGAGGACAATGACAAACTAACCACTGATGAGCTGCTAGATCATCTTCAACAGCAAGAGGCCAGACCTGAGGAAACTGCTTCGGAGGAGGGGAGAGAGAAATTGAAGAAGTTGCCTACTTCAAAGATTAAGGAAATCTGTGCAATGTGGCTTGAAGTGCAAACCTTTTTTGATGAAAATCACCCTGACACAGCTATTGCAAGCTGTGCTGGTGACTATTACACTAACAATGTTGTGAACCACTTTAGGAAAGTCATAAAGGAACGAGAGGTACAGGCTTCTATGGACAGATATATTGTGCGACAGAGATCCAGTGACTCTCAAGCTGGTCCTAGTGGCATTAAAAGAAGAAGGGAAGTAACCCCGGAATAGGACTTGACACCTCAAGTCCTAATGGAAGGGGATTCCCCTTCTAAACACTAAGACCATCCACACTCTCCCCTCCTCCCATCCCATCAGTCATCACCAGATCTTCAATAAAGGTAAGTGTCATGTATTGTACATCTCTTCTTCAGTTTGTGTGTATTAAAATTAATATTTCATGTGGTAAAAAATTTTTTTTTCATACTTTGGGGTGTCTTGCACGGATTAATTTGATTTCCATTATTTCTTATGGGGAAAATTAATTCGCCTAACGATAATTTCGCCTAACGTTGAGCTCTCAGGAACGGATTAATATCGTTAGGCGAGGGTCCACTGTAATCTGTTCCAGACAGCCAAAAGTATTAAAAAAAATTATTTTTTTCTACATGAAAAATACATTTCCCTACACAAAAAACAATGAGACATGCCCAATACGTACTTAAATAAATATTAAAATGACACTTACCTTTATTGAAGAGTATTGTTGAGTGATGAGACACTGTTTTTCTTGAAAACACTGGGATTTTCACAGTGATACATGAGTAAAGGCTTCAATTATCAATCCCTACTAGCATTACAACAAAACATGAGAGTTAGCCTGTCTTTCATAGGCTCGTGTCCTGGAAGTGCCTTTCCCTCCTAAGTAATGAGAATTGTAGGTCCTGTTTGACATTTTCTTCCAGAACAGGCCCGTTTCGTCACAAACACTTATTGGGGTTGGAATTTTTCAGCTTCGCCATGCCTTATCACACTGTGTATGCCACTATGATTCTTAAATCTCTCAAACCAACCTTTGCTGGGCTTAAATTCACCAATATGAGCACTAGTTCCAGGCATTTTTTCCTGTTCATCTGGATGTTAGTCGACTGGTGTGGGTCGCATCCTAGGGGACAAGATTAAGGACCCCAATGGAAATAAGTTAGACAGTCCTTGATGACACACTGACTTTCTTGGGTTATCCTGGGTGGCTAACCCTCTGGGGTTAATCGTTTCTCGGTATTCTCAATCAGCCATACCAACAGCAGTCTCTCCACATCTTCAAGTAGTACAGCTGACCGTGGTGCAGCAGCAGCTGACAGTGGTGCAGCAACACCTGACGGTAGTGCAGCAGCAGCTGACTGTGGTACGATAGTATTTTGATAGTATTTCTCACCTGTTTTACCACAGGGTTAGCACTAGAAGCTTTCTTTGGGCCCATGGTGGCTTATTTAGCGTTACAAGCACTAAAAACACTGGAAAATATATCGCAGGTACATGTGGAATCGACCGCAACGGCTTTATGTAAACATTGGCAAACTGGCTATACACAGAGTCTTGGAGTGGCTAGGCCCACTCAGGCCGTTGGTAGAGCCAATATTTTGATGCCAAAGAGCGCTGTAGTTGAATTTGGCGTTGGTTGATGCCAGCCGTTGGTTGAGGGTCCACCGTACATTTCAGGCTAAGACAAAAACGATTATGTCTGGAGGTTTTCTATAAGGTTGTTTGCTTAACCCTTTCAGGGTTGAGAGGCCCTCTCCTAAACTCGTTCTCAGGGTCAAAAATTTTTCTGAAAAAAAAAAAATATATATATATTTCTTCTTATGGAATGATAGAGAATCTCTTCCAGATCATAATGACACCAAAACTATGAAATTTGGTGAAAAACTTATGGAATTATGCTCTCGCAAAGTTAGTGGTCTCGACAATGTTTATGCATCGACGATTTTGCTCACTTTGAGCCCTATTTTCTGCCAATTTCAGTGTACTAGTTGACAAAAATCATATCCATTTCGCTAGAACTCCATTTTTTCTATCGAATGAGTACAAGAAACCACCCATTTACCAATTTCAAATATCCAATAAAGTGGTCAGAAATTGGCAATTTTGCCAATTTCACACAAATTTCAGAAGATGCCAATTTCCAAATTGGGTCCAGAATAAGCAAGACAGACATTCCTGGCACTAACATAACATTTTCTCTGTTCATTAGTCACGTCCCCAGGCCCCTCTTACATCTCTTTTGCTTTCCACTTTGAATTTTTATTCTCACAAAAAATAGAAGATTTACTGTTATGCAGACTACTGCATTAGTGTAGAAATGGTATAAATTATATCAGTGCACTTGTGATAGAATATTATACTTGCCAGTTGACATGTATTGGATGCTTGGCATGATTTGTTTACTTTTGAAATTTGGTAAAAATCGAACATTTCTACTACTTTGAGCTCAATTTCAAGGTACTTTTCATTAAGAAACCAATCAAAATCATCTCAATTTCTGTAATATGTCTTCCATTCTATAAAATGAGACCAGGAAAACTGGAATACAACCATAAATACCATACAAAAATACCCTGCAAAGTCGCTGTTTTATACCAAAAACACAGTCGGAGCTTTTTTTTCCTCATTAAGCACTGTGTGCTGCAGGATTTTTTTTTATACTGTGCACACTGACCACATAGACCCATTCTTTCATATGTAGGCCTACCAGCTTTCTCTCACTAGATTTGAAGGCGCTAGAATTTACGCGTTCTAGTACGTCAATAACCCTGGTGCGTAAGCCGTACTAGTATGTCAGAAACCCTGAAAGGGTTAATAACAAAAGACAATGTAAAATACTATTAGATATGATGATTAATATTGCAATTACATATAATGCACAGATTTTCATTATACAGTGGAACCTCAAATATCAACTGCTCCCAACTCAACCAATTATGTAAGTGTACTTTTGTAAGTGCTTTTATAAGTGTGTTTTTGAGGGTCTGAAATGAACTACATGTCTCCCTCAACATTCACGAGGGTTAGGGGATCAAGAGCCTCGCGAATGTTGAAAAACCGTGAATGTTTGGTGCCCCAATATATTGTAGGGAAATATAATACAATACTGCTTCCTTAACTTGTTGAACCATGAACAATCATAAAATACGTGAAAACGTCATAAATTGTACTAAATACATACGTTGTGCCTTAACAACATGTATGTTATTAAATACCACTGCCTCCACCTCTGCAAGTCCCTACTACCCTCCCTCCGACCCCCACAACTGGCAGCCAGCCCTCCCACCACTCAGTGTGGTGAGTGTTTTGTTTGTTCATTATTTGCTATTAAACTACAGTATAAATAATGTCAACCCATTTATGACTGCATATTGGAATGGCTATTCGGACAGGTATTGGAAGGTGACATCATGTGTTTACTCTTGAACACAGCAAAGAATCAAACATTTGTGCTACTGCTAATAATAATAATAATAATAATAATAATAATAATAATTGGCAGTTTGGAGGGATATGTTGTGTATCTTTATACGTATATGCTTCTAAACTGTTGTATTCTGAGCACCTCTGCAAAAACAGTGATAATGTGTGAGTGTGGTGAAAGTGTTGAATGATGATGAAAGCATTTTCTTTTTGGGGATTTTCTTTCTTTTTTGGGTCACCCTGCCTCGGTGGGAGACGGCCGACTTGTTGAAAAAAAAAATTATAATAATAATGATAATAATATAATAATAATAATAATAATAATAATAATAATAATAAAAAATAATAATAATAATAAAAATAATAATAATATAATAATAATAATAATAATAATAAAATAATAATAATAATAATAATAATAATAATAATAATAATAATAAATATGATAGAATTGAAGAAGGAAATTGTACAAAAATACGAGGGTTGAAGCACTGGTGGAGGAAGTGGTTGACGCATCGTCAGTGTGGCTTTGTTTATGCTGGAGTGAGTATTAGTCTCCCTGCTCTTCCAAACATTTCACAATAATTCATTGTATTTGGTGCTTGTAGATTGAGTGTGACTGGAGTGGTTGAGGCAGTGGTAGAGGCAGTGATAGCGGCAGTGGTAGAGGCAATGGGTGAGGCAGTGGTAGAGGCAGTGATATTTACTAACATATATGTTATAAATAATAATAATACATGTTAATATTAATAACATTTATAATAATAATAATAAATGTTATTCATAATGTACTATTATTATTTATAACATATATGTTAGTAAATATCACTGCCTCACCCACTGCCTCTATAACTGCCTCTACCACTGCCTCAACCACTCCAGTCACACTCAATCTACAAGCACCAAATACAATGAATTATTGTGAAATGTTTGGAAGAGCACGGAGACTAATACTCACTCCAGCATAAACAAAGCCACACTGACGATGTGTCAACCGCTTCCTCCACCACTGCTTCAGCCCTCGTATTTTTGTACAATTTCCTTCTTCAATTCTATTGTATTTATTATTATTATTATTATTATTATTAGCGGTAGCAGAAATGTTTGATTCTTTGCTGTGTTCAAGAGTAAACACATGATGTCACCTTCCAATACCTGTCCGAATAGCCATTCTAATATGCAGTCATGGATGGGTTTACATTATTCATACTGTAGTTTAATAGCAAATATTAAATATTAATAGGGGGTGGGACAAAGTATCAGTGAGTATTGGCCATTTTTATGGTATCGGTATATGAATTTGTGAAACAACTGCCAATACCTTTATGCAAGTGCTTTAAAATAGTAAAATTGGGTGTGAGGGATACTCTCAAAAACACAGTAACACTACACACTGACACTGTCACACATAACTGAGTTTCCTGTCCTGAGCTGAATAATGGAGATAGGATGGTGTTAATGTTCTGAACAATAATTTCAGTTTTTAAATTTCCAGTGATTACAATAATGTGCGATTTTCCAGTTTTCAAAATTTTAGGGCATCTTTTTATTTTTTTTAATTTGAAAGCCTCATGGGAGTGCCTCTAAATTACTTAATACAGCTTCTCCTCATTAAACCCCTTGACTGTTGCAACCCCAAATCCTGGTGTCCCAAAATTAAAAAAAAAAAAAAAAAAAAAAAAAAAAACCTCTTGAAATGATAGAGAATCTTTTCCCGATTTCAATGACACCAAAAGAACAAAATTTGATGGAAAACTGACGGAATTACGCTCTCACAAAGTTAGCAACCTCGGTGATATTTACGAATCAGTGATTTCGCCCAATTTGAGCCCTATTTTTGGCTAATTCCATTGTTCCAGTCGACCAAACTAATAGCTATTTCTTTAGAACTCCATTTTTCTATCGAATGAGTACAAGAAACTGCCCATTTACTGATTTTAACTACCCAACAACGTGGTCAGAAATTTGCAATTTGGCCAATTTCACGAAAATTAAAAAGTATGACAATTTCGAAATAGGGTCCAGAATGAACAATGCAGACATTCCTGGCTCTAAAATAACATTTTCTTTGTTCATCAGTCAAGTCTCCAGATTCCTCTGATATTACTCTTGTTTTCTATTTCGAATTTTTATTCAAACAAAAAATAGAAGATTTACTGTTATGCAGACTACTGCAATATTGTAATAACTGTATAAATAATGTCAACCCATTCATGACTGCATATTAGAATGGCTAGTTGGACATTTATTGGAAAATGACATCATTTGTTTACTTTGAACATCTGCAAAAATCAAACGTTTCCCCTACTTTGAGCTCCATTTCAAGATTCTTTTCATAGTAAAACCAATCAAAATCACCTCTATTTCTATAATATGTTTTCCATTCTGTCAAAGAAAACGAGAATACAACCATAAATACTATACAAAAATAGACCACAAAGTCGGCATTTTAATTAAAAAAAAAAAACGGTCGGAGTTTGTTTTTCTTATTATGCACTGCGTGCTGCAGGATTTTTTTTATATGGTGCACACTGACCACACACCCATTCTCTCACATGTGGGCCTACCAGCTTTCTCCTGCTTGATTTGAAGCCGCTAGAATTTACGAGTAGTATATATACGTCAAAAACGGTGGCTCGTAAGATGTATATATACGACCAAAACAGTCAAAGGGTTAACAATGGAGTTCAGTCCCTAAGACCACGTCAGTAAATGAATTCGTTGCAAAGTAAGGAGCATACTATAATGGTAGTGGGTTTGTGTCAACTATCTTTGAAATTGTTTTAATGCCACCTTTGCACCATTTATAAAAATTTTAGTGTATTTTTAAATGTTTATATAGTAGTGTACTGCTTACAGCCTCTCCTCACTTAGCAACATACTCGTTTACTGACAACTCGGACTTATGACTGGCTCTTTGACCAGTATGCATACCTATATAATGTATATTAGAGCTGATTTCCTCTGTTCTGTATATTACAATATACAGCACACTGCTGTACAAACATTTAAAAATATTCTAAAGATGTTATAAATGGTGCAAAGGTGACATTAAAACAATATCAAAGATGGTTGACAAACCCACTACCATTATAGTATGCTCCTTGCTTAGTGACGAATTCATTTACCAACATGGTCTTAGGAATGGAACCCCGTCGTTAAGTAAGAAGAGGCTGCATTGAAATAAACAGAATAGAGGAAATCAGCTCTAATATACATTATTTAGGTATGCATACTGGTCAGAGAGCCCGTCGTAAGTACGAGTTGCTGGTAAACAAGTATGTCGCTAAGTGAAGAGAGGATGTATACAACTTCCTGGGTTATTTAACACCTAATGAGCAATAAACATTTCCTTAAATGTTGAACAGTTATTATAATTTTAAAAATAAAAATATAGAAAAGTTGGTACATATTGGCCTAAAATCGAGAATCAGTATTGGTAAATAACTTGGTTCTATCCTATTACTATAATTATTGTATATTAAAAACTGACCATAAATTAACTTAATATTAGTTTTCATACAAGTATTACTGGTTTGTCAAAGTGATAAATAAGTACCGTACATAAGAAAGTCTACCAAACATGAAACAAGTAAAATAAAGCGAGATATAAAGCCATGACACTGTACTATTGGTACTACTACTATTCTTTGAAAACTTACCTCTTCTTGTCTTTCTCTATCTTCTTTAGTTTCTCCTTTCTCTTCCTCCTCTTGCTAGCTCGAGGAAAGCACAAACAGGGATTAGCATAGACGAGCATGACAATACAAGTCAGGGTTAGCACCACAGTGTCAGGGGACAATTGTTAGGAAAACTTTCACTATTCAAGACACTCAGAAATTAAATTGCAAAGAAAAAAATTACACCTACCATCCGACTTAAGACCGAGTTCGGTTCCGAGAAACCGGTCGTAAGTCGAAATGATCGTAAGTCGAACTTTACTACTGAATATCAACAAAACATTTTTGTAATGACTTTATTTTGTTTTATTTTGGTATTTCATGTTTTACTTTACTTTTTATGCTGTTAGTACTGTATTTTATACTGTAAGGTTTAGGATAAACACTGTGTACAACACAAATAGTTGTTTATTTCCCAGAAATTTGGCATAAAAAACACGGTCGTAAGTCGAGTGGTCGTAAGTCAAGCAGGTCGTAAGTCGGATGGTAGGTGTATTTAAAAAATTAACATGCAGATTAAAAATTGTTAAAATAGTCATTCACTAAGTACAATATTGCTTAAGCAATATTAGAAATAAAGTAACAGTCCCATAATACACACTTGCTAGTTCGAAAGAAAAAACAATACAATACATACTGTGTATCATGTAAAATTTATGAGTTTGAAATTTTAGGGTTACACCTAACACATATCTCTTATCAGACACCTACTGTGATAGGGCCCTGGTGGTCTACTAGGAACACACCCAACAGTCACTTCCATAAATATTTTAGATCAAAAGAAGAGTTCATCTTGCATTTTTTTCACTTAGTGCAAGCTTTCTCCTGCCTCTATTCACAGGCTGTTACTTGTGGCCAGAACCCTGTAGTGATCATACATGTACATCAGTACAAGTTCTTGGCACGAGTTAAATCCTCTCTTATTTACAGAGTTATCCGGGGATTACCTTATTAGAGTAGTGGACTTGAAGTGGCCTCTTCTGACAGTGGATCCAGTGGTTGTCAAGATAATGCAGGCCCCCTGCTCCCTCAGTCCCCAGGGGTTCCTAGTGCATATCAACTTCAGCCTGAAGCCCTAGCAGTCCTTCAATATTCATGGGCTCTAGTCATTTTCTAGGACCAGGTCTTGGGTCCTCAACTGTTTCATAAAACAGTACTGAATATGTATCCAGCAGCTAAACATATAAAACAAGCAGCTGATCAAGTCTTAAAAAAAAAAAAAAAAAAAAAAAAAATGTGGCCAAAGCACTTTCATATCTGGTGTGCAAGACTGTGGTTGCAATCTGGTGCATCCTCCTACTTGGAGCTTACCTGAAATCACTTCTGGAGGTCACTGCCCTTGTACCTCACTCCCAAACCAGGCCTCTCCTTCTACTATGGAGATTTGGAAAACTACACTTATGCACCCTGTCACTGGTAGGCAATTCATGTACAGCAGGGCTCCGTTTTATGGTGTTTTGCTTTACAGCATTCTGCTAATATGGACATTTGAAATTATGACCAAAACTCGCTATACAGCTCCCCCACCTGACTTTCTAACATGGTCACTGCGCCCCACCCGGTTTGTTTACATTCTCCGTGAGGTCCATGAGCTCTGCGTCTCTCCATTATGTCTGGAAACTTTCTAAAAGTTCAAGTGTTTTAAAGTTATTTCATATTTTATATATACTCTGATAATTATACTTATGTGTACCTGTACCAAAGTAAACTTACATACTGTGCTGGCGTGCAGGTACACATTAAAATCAGTAAGAGTGTCTTATGTCTCAAGGGTGCCATATTAACAATGATAATAATAATAATACTCAATAATAATCACTCTGAGGCACATTAAATGTCGTATATTACGTAATATACACATTTTCATTAATCCATCTATGATATTTTTTCAAAATTATATAATAAACATGCTACATAAGATACAAAAATGATAAATACACCCCACAGTAGAATAAATTAACATAAATATGAGATGTGGTAGCCAGACAACTTGTAGGAGTGATGGCAAGAATTACGTTTTCTCTAGTCCAACATCAGAGAAAATGTGTACAGTATAGTATTACTCGGGGTAACTGTGGAAAATTATTCCTTTCATATGCTTTCACTTGGAGCATTATTTCTTCTAAAAATGAGGTTACATGAGAATGGGAGTGTTCCTCTTTATTTAATTTACTTTATCAACAAGGAGACAACCTATACACAATGTAAAGTGTTTGTATTATGGTATGGTATAATACAGTGGAACCTCAGGTAATGCCTTTAATCCATTCCAGAGAGCTAGCCTTTAGCCGATTTAGCCTTTAGCCGAATTACTTTTCCCGATATGAAATAATGGAAATCCAATTAATCCATTTAGACAGCCAAAAGTATTAACACAAAATATTTTTTTAAATGAAGCAAGGGGCTAGTAACCCCTTCTCCTGTATAGGTTACTAAATCTGAAAAGAGAAGCTTTTGCTTTTCTTTTTGGGCCACCCTGCCTTGGCGGGATACAGCCGGTTTGTTGAAAAAAAAAAAATTGAAGATTAAATATAAATATACATACAGAAAACAATGACAAATAAATATAATAAAGCACTAATAAAATGGATAAATGTACATTTAACATCACACTTACCTTTATTGACTTGACTTGTTGGTGTATGGAAGACATGTAGGAGGCAAGAGGAAGGCAAGTTTATTATGCTTCAATATGATGCTAATATCATCTCTACGGCTTATTTATCTATCACAATTCATCTAATATGACATTATAAACAATATTAATAACATAGAAACATGATATATACTCTAGAATGAATAAAATATGTCATAATGTATGAGAGGAGTAAATGGTGCAAGTGTTGTTGTTGGGTTTATAAGAGCCACTGAGAGAAGCCATACATAGTGGTAGAGGCACCAGCAGAACCCACCACTTAAACAATGTATGTAATTTATAAATAAGAAAGATTTACATTTTAATTTATAAATAAGTAAGTTTATTCAGGTATACACAAATACGTACAGTTACGTACATAGATCATACATAGCAGTATATGTGTAAAGTACCTAGGATAACCCAAAAAAATCAGAGTGACTTACATATTTCCATTGGGGTCTTTTTATATTTACACATGTATTTACTTTTATACTTACACTTTATATTTACACTTACCTTGGAGGAGATGTTAGTTTAATTAGTTAGTTTGATGGAAAAGATGCTGGCAGAGGATTAGGGTAGTGGAAGATAGCAGGGTAGCATATATTCAGCAGCCCTACACACATCCAACAACATTGGAAAGTTACTTTCGTGTTGTTTTTCTATCGCTTACTCACTTGCCTTACTTGCTACACTGTTAATTCTACACTTTACTGCTGGCTAGCACTATAGCCTTTATCAATACCTGCTGCTTTAATATCGTACATATCGCAGAATCACTGAATCGCTGCAGAAGGCACATTCTCCACTCTCTCTTCCTCTTCCACTCTGGTACTTTGCTACGAGTTTTTTCTTGAATTTTCTTGTGTTTCTTTCCTTCTTTATCACAGGACTGGCACTAGCTTTCTTTGGGCCCATGGTGGCTTATTTAGCAGTTTCAAGCACTAAAAACAATGAAATAATACTAAATATGAGTGGAATCGTCCTCCCTGGCTTGTAAACAATGACACTGGCTGTACATGGAGTCATGGAGTGGCCGGGCCCGCTGAGGGCCACACGGACATTTTCGGGATGAAAGCCCTTAGCCGAGTTATTTGGCATTAGCCGAGTCAATATTTTTATGCCAAAGCGAGCCGTTAGCCGATTTTGGTGCTAACCGATGAAGCCTTTACCCGAGGGTCCACTGGACAAATGTGTATGAACGAAAACCAGATGCGTTCATCTGTTTGTTTACATACTCCACGTCTCTGTCCTCTCTCATTTACTCATTCTCTCTCTCTCTCTCTCTCTCTCTCTCTCGTTTATTTGTTTTATCTTGTTTACTTACCTCTCACCACACATTAAGAGAACAAATATTTTAAGGCAAGCAATGAGTGAACTATATATGCATTTTATTGCTCTAGGATGCTTTAAATGTCATAGTATATAGCCTCTCCTCACTTAGCAACATACTCGTTTATCGACGACTCAGACTTACGATGAGTTCTCTGACCAGTATGCATACCTATATAATGTATATAAGAGCTGATTTCCTCAATTATTTTTATTACAATATACAGTACACTGCTGTATAAACATTTAAAAGTATTCCAGAAATGTTATAAATATGCAAAGGTGACATTAAAACAATATCAAAGATGGTTGACACACACCCACTACCATTATAGTATGCTCCTCACTTAGCGATGAATTCGTTTACCGACGTGGTCTTAGGAACGGAACTCTGTTGTTAACCCTTTCAGGGTCCAAGGCCCAAATCTGGAGTCACGCACCAGTGTCCAAGAATTTTCAAAAAAAAAATTTGTTATTTTTTCTTATGAAATCGTAGAGAATCTTTTTGTGAAGGTAATAAAACAAAAAGTACGAAATTTGGTGGAAAATTGACGAAATTATGCTCTCGCAAATTTTGATGTGTCAGGGATATTTACGAATCGGCTATTTTGCCGACTTTGACTCCCATTTTAGGCAATTACATTATTCCAATCAACCAATTCTTAGCTATTTCACTAGTATTACTTCTATTCTATCGATTGGCACAAGAAATCGCCAAGTCAACTGTTTCAACTACAAAATAAATGATCGGAAATTGTTCTAATTTGGCCAATTTAACACAAAGTTCAAATATTCCAATTTCAAAATAGGGTCCCAGAATGAACAATGTAGGCATTCCATGGCACTAAAACATACATTTCCTCTGTTCATTAGTTATGTTTTGGGCTTTACAAATAAATTCCATTTTAATTTTTTATTCCATGAATGCATTTTTATTCACACCAAAAATAGAGAAAGTTACTGTTATTGCAATACTGTAATAATTTATATATTCAATCACCATATTTGTGAACGTATATTAGACCCACCAGCTGACGTGTATAGACCGTGTGAGGTCGTTTGTTTA